CTTTGTCTTGTCCTGTATGCATCGTGCTACCGAGAGTCGTTCAAAACCTCCTAAACCTGTCCGTACAAGGGTATCCTACATGTCTTGTTGTCGTTGAACCAAAAAAGCCTTGCATATGTACGCCATGTCATCCATCACAAAACCGTTGCCTTGCCTTGGCTTGCCTCGCCTTTCCCTAGGTATACAATCCCAAGGTTCCCACACCTCGTCAGCCCACATGTCTGTCTCGGGCAAATATTTCTCAAACAGAGTCTCCAAAGATGGCCTTGTCATCGGTGAAGGACATGAGAAACTTGGCCACGAGTCGACCCGTGTACAAGGTCTCCGGGCTCATAGGGAACGGGTGACTGCCGCTATTGGGGAGGATATCGTTGGCCGCCAGGAACTGCAACTCTAACCCTGAAAAAGTGTGAGACAAACGTCAGCATTTTCGTGTTCCTTCTAGAAGGACTTTTCTCGTCAACGGTTGCACTTACAGTCCTCGCCAAAGAATAGCTCCCTGAGCTGAGCCGCAAACGTCACGGTGGGCCCGTCCAGCTCGCCCTGCTCGGCAAAGCTGCTGTCAAACAGCGGGTTGAAGCTCTTTGCGTTGGCCTCCTTGGTGTGCGTCTGGTAGACCTGGTGGAACTGGTAGGCAAACTGCTTAAAGGGCATGTTCTCGACCTCCTTGCACGTGTTGAGGGCCACGCTGCGGTCGTACTCGGCCCGCGCGCTGTTCCTCATGCTGATCTCGTTGCCCGCCACGACAAAGGTGTCGGCCGCCGTCTCGACCGCCTCCATGAAGAGGCAGAGCACCAGGAAGGCGGCGGTACAGGGCGCCCACTCGCGCCGGATCTTGGGCTTGAGCGACTTGGAGAAGAGCTCAAACAGCTGCTGCATCTCGCGCAACATGAGCTCGTCTACGACCGACTTGATCTGCCGTGCGAGCATGCGGGGCGTCACGAAGCCGTCGTTCTGGGCGATCATGCCGGTAGACCGCAGCGAGTCGACAGTGTGCCGGGTGAGGCAGAGCTGCCGGGTCATGATGTAGTGCATACAGTAGATGGACAGGGCGCGCTTGACCATGAGGGACTGTAGATGCGTCGTCAGCTCGGCTACTGATACAATTTCACTCGGGCTTACTCACCTCGGTCTCATCGGCGTATTGCTTGATGATTCCAAGAATCTTCCTCGGAAGTTGAGTGGAACGGAAAGATTCCGTCACTTGGTCCACAAAGCCAGGCTCGGTGATGAGCTCTTGGATGTACTTCTTTGTCCTCTTTTTGAGGTTGTCCCTCTCGGCCGTCTTCTCGAGCTCGACAGCAATGGCTGCGGCTCCGTTGGACTGCAGCTCAACACGGTCTGGTCCTACATTGACCATGTGCCAGTGCTGGATGATGTCAGGGGTCTTGGGGGTGAAGAACTTGGCCTCGATGGCGAGAACCGCTCGGAACCTGCCTCCAGAGAAGAGCTCGACAGAGCAGCCCTGCTCAACTCCATTGACCTGGAAGCTAACAATGCTCTCGGCAGTAAACTTGGTCATCATCTCCTTACGCAGATGACCACGGATAAAGTCTGGGAAGAGGATGGGAACAAAGTCCTGGAACTGCCAGCAGACCACCTGAGGGACCTGCATCATGAGCTTCTTGCAGCTCTTGCAGGGCCTCTCCTTGTCACACTTGACCTTGCGGCTATGACAGCAGAAGCAAGCTCCCACCCTCCGAACCTGCAGGGCGTTCTCCTTGGTAGCATTCGCCAGGGGGCCCTTTCGGCCTCGCTGACTGGTGCGATTCATGGCCTCGAAGCATTCAAAGGGGTTCGGGCGGCCGGCGTGGGCCGAGATGGAGTTGGGGGTTACAATGACAAACTTGCCCGACTGCTCTGCCTTCTTCTTCTCGACCTTGCCTGTCTTGACCTTGCGGATCTGCGTCGATGATTTACCGCTGCTGCTGCCGTAGTTGGCCTTGTTACTAGAGAAGGAACTCTGTGAGTGAATGCTCTTGGGGGATGGCGAGCTGCTAAAGTCATCCATGATGAAGATGCCTTCGCTGCCCCTCGTGTTAGTAGGGTTCCACGGCGGGACGTTTGGATCCGACTGCAGCGGCTGTGGCATGTTGAGGTCGACTTGGGGCACCTGAACCTGCTCACCCGAGGCGGTCGAGAACATGTCGGCGCCAAAGTTGTTGATGAGGGTCATGTCTGCAGTCTCATCAGCACCCTGCCGTGAACTGGGGCCCGTCCTCTGCGCCACCAGCATACCGTTCAAACCCTGGGGCGAGAACTGGCTCGCATCCTGCTGCTGCTGCTGTTGCGGGAAGAGGTACTGCTGGGGGGTCATGAAGCCCTGCGCCTGGCCGAAGCCTCCATCTGCTGTTGTGGTTGCTGTCGCAAACATGTCCGAGTTGCCAGTCTCGGACTGCGAGGGGAACGACGGGTTACTGAAGAAGGCGGTCTGGTCCATCTCCCCGAGGAGGAGGGGAGAGGCTGCCGAAGGGGAGGGGTGGTTTCCAGAGACGTATGGTGAGGGAGTGTTGACTGGCACAAAGGGTGAGGATGTGTTCCCTGACACATACGGGGATGGCGTGTTGCCCGCCATGTAGGGAGAGGGTGTGCTGCCAGCGACGTAGGAAGACGGAGTGTTCCCAGAGACGTAGGAAGACGGAGTGTTCCCAGAGACGTAAGGGGAAGGCGAGTTTCCATGAACGTTTCCAATCATGGCAAAGCTACCCAAGCTTCCACTGGCAGGGTCAGACAGAAATCCGATGGAGGACGGGCCAGAGCTCGAGGCCGTGTAGTCGATGTACTGCCATGTCTCGTCGGTCTCGGGGGCGGATTCGAAGTCGTAAGGGGATGAAGAGTTTGGCGATGGCCGGGAGGACACAGACGCCATTGTGAGAGGCTTAGAGAGGTTTCAAGGGGTTAAGATCCGAGTTGGTTGATGAGAGTCAATACTATGGCGTGGTGTATTGAGAGGCCAGGTTACGGATGGGGAAGAAAGCGGATATATATGGGAGGAAAGGGACGTTATATAGTAGATTGAAGCCCATGAAAATGAGACGAAAGAAAGGAACCGCAGGCAATCACAGCCAAAAAGAATCGAGTCGTCACTTTGTCGTTGTAGTTGTTATCGAGATCGCATCCACCAAAAGATCACCAAGAGTTGGTCGCGCGCAAAGTGGGGAGAGGAGGAGAGGAGACCGACTCAGCGATAGATCCAGGGAGCAACAGATATAAAAGGCCAGATCAATGGCATTTTTCTACAATCGTAGACCGAAGGAAAATAAAGAAAAGGGAAAAAAGAGACTCTCTAACTTGTTGGATTTCTGCTCGGTCGACCTTCTTGGGGTCGTCGTGGGGCCCTTGTTTGCTTGCATTCGCCGTCGAGACTCGACGCGCTAAACCTAAACGGCGACCGACTGGGCGTAAGTTGACCCCACGACGGGGGGTACCTGAAAGTCACAGCAAAACCACGCGGAATGTCAGGTACCCCAGCTCGGGAAGCGCAGGGTAAGGCTTGTCGTCGGCCAGTCGTTTATGCACATGTTCATCCAGGGCAAATTTGGACTCTCTGACGCTATACCTCTCCTAGTACTATGTCGAGTGATGGTGTCTTTGGGCTGTCATCAGTCATTGCACCGCAGCGGCGGCAGCGGTATCGAGCGAGGCGCGGTAGCTGAGCTGTTTCTGTTGGCCTTTGAAATCGATTTCGTGCATCACGACATAAAGTGATGCAGGAAGGCCTCAAGACAGCTTCGGCCGCGCCCTCGGTACGACGGGACATGTCAGTTCATCACATCAGCCAGACGCCACATGAGAACCCCATGACTTGCATTCAACTCCCGTGGCCTCTGCCGGCGAGCAATTGCGGTCTATGTTGAGGCTGAATCTCGATCTGACTATCTGTTGACGTTAACATATCCTGACGTTGATGTCGACACACTCACTCGTTTCAAGTTGAAATCACTCACTCACTCACTCACTCACTCACATACCAGCAGTGACCTCTCATCGTAAGCAATGCTGCGTAATCTCGCTCATTCTGATTCTCGTCTTTGCGATACTCTATGCGAACTGTTGTCAAATCAAACCGTCAACTCAACTCTCCAGCTGGTTGCTCGTATACCGACTGGCCGGCCTCATAGCCAAGCTCTGCCATCCCGTCCCGTCCCGTTTCATCCCATGCCATCCCGCTGCGCTGCCGTATTCATACACCCTGTCGCAAGACCGTGGCCTCCGGGCCTCTGTGTCCCCCGTGCCTTTAACACGAAAGGACACCTCCGGCACGAGACTGCCTGCCTCCTGGGGAGATTGATCATCCTCACAGCTTCCTATCCCTTTCAACCATCCATACCCAATATCCCAGACCCTTGCCAACCTTCCTGACCATAGCCCCGATGCCCAACACCACCATCTCCGTCGTTACCCAACGCCACCCGCGGCCGGGGCGGCAGTGGGCGCGCCATCCATGCCCGGGACCAACTTCTCCAATTACCGGAATGACCGAAACACACAGCAAGAAGTGCGAATTGTGCCAGAGTCCTCGTCCTCTATTGGAGAGATGCCCATAACCCGGAGCAATAAGAAAAACGAGAGCGTAACAATCATGGATGCTAAAATAGCAACGGAAGCACAAAAAGAAGAAACCCGCGATTCGCCCAAGAAAAAATAAACAAGAAATCATTGCCACATGAAAACTCCCAACACGCTCTAGACGATGGCCTCCCAACCAGAAAAGACGGTTGTTACCCGCGGCAAACATGTCGGCGACAGCGTCTTGCTCAACTCATGTTGTATAACCGTGGAAGAATGCCCATCCATATTCGAAAAACATTATCATTCACAATGCGACCCTGCAGTTGCCTTGCTTCAAGCCTCAGCAAAGAGACCCGGGTCACATCCCTGTTTCTGCTCTGCTCTGCGCCGTAGTCGTCGCCGGCTGATCGATCGTCTTTTCCTGCTGTAGGAAAGCGTATAAACGTATATCGTGGGAGTCGCTTAGGACTCGTGATGAAGCTTGTGTCTCAAGACCGGTACCGCGCAGCCGCACGGTCTTGGATCTGCTTCTCGGTAGAAACGTATAATCGGTCCAGGTAGTCCATGGCCGATGCATCCTTCAGAATCTTGGCCACCTGAATGCCGGCCGAGATGAGCTGAAGGATGTTGCGGTCGTCCTTGAGAGGACGGCTCTGGTGCTTCGCGGCGTGTCGCATCTCGAGCGAGTTCTCGAGGATCGTGACAAACTGCTTGATCTGTCCGTTGTACAGCACTCGCGCAGGGATGCGTCGCTTCGTCGCTAGGCGCTTCAAGAGGTAAACCCACTCGGTCCACTCCCGATCCTGCGGTCGCTCAACCGGCCTCATATCCTGAGTCAACGGAATCGGGAACTGGTACTTGGCGACAAAGTCGTAAGCGCACTGCGAGAGTCGGTCGTTGACCTGGCTGAGAACGCTGTCCTGCTCCTGGACGTGAAGGTTCGTGGGCAGATGCGGGAGTTCGCGCTCCTGCATCGCAATAACGTCTGGCGGTGGCCGCTGCAGGAATTGATGGGGACCGTCAAACTCGTCTCGGTTCGACGGCCGTCGCTGTGACCGGCCCTTACCATTGGGCTTGGACTTGGCCTGGGCGGCGCTGTTCATCCCATTTTCCAGGGAATAGTCAGACAGGTTGGGCGACGCGATGATGTCGTCGACCGAGTCGGTGGGTGAGTAGCGGTCATGGGTCTCCCAGGCCTGTGAGCCGGAGCCCTTGTAGGATCCATGTCCGATGGGCTTGCCAAACGATCCTGACGGAGGACGTCCGGCGTAGGTCGAGCCTGGAGGGTAGGCGGACTCGGCCCGCGAAAGATGGCCGGCAGCAGCGCCGTTGCCGTTGACAGCGACGGGCATGGCAGCGGCGCCAGCACCGGCACCGGCACCGGCAGCGAGGTTGTAGGAGCTAGCCGAGTAATTGACACTTTGCAGAGGGCCATTGTTACTAAAAACTGCGGGCGTGGGAGCTCGAGGATGTCCATACCTTGGTGTCGAGTAAAAGACATTATCGAAGCCTCCATGTGCCGTGGGTTCGGCAAAGGAACTGCCGGGCAAGAGTTAGCCAACCACACTGATGGTGCCCGTCGCGACGGACGGACGCGGACGGGCTGGACAGGCAACGGGGAGAGAGCAATCTCACCTGCGAGTCGGGTTCCAGGGACTGTTGGACATGGCCGAGGACCTGTAGGCATACTCTGGTTGCGCCATACTGAACTGGCTGGTCATGGCAGCAGGCAGAAGGAAGGCAAGGCAGTGTTAACTTCCGGACAGAGTCCTGCTGACGAGACTTGCGGCTGATAAAGAAAGAATCCACAGCTGGAGGCGAGGAAGAAGCAAATGGGTCCGGGCCTTGGGTTCCAGAAAAAAAGAGACTAAATCCGATGGACAGCTTGCACACTATGGGTCCTTGGGCCGTGATCCTTGGTTTTCTCCAAAAGGCTGGCTCCAAAATCTCTGGGGCATCCACGGCGACTAGGGTTTTCCTGAGATGGCGATGGGATTCCTGGGTCTGGGTCCTCCCGTCGGCGGTTGTAGGCGGTGTGACCTGGGTGGTTCAGGCAGATGGATCAATCTGTCTGTCTGTTGACGTCTCGGGACGTACGTCAAAAGGAAGTGCCAGGAGCTCCAGATGGGACGGAAACGGAATGATTGGACAAAAAAACTCGCGGGAAAACAGTGAAGCACTAAGAAGACGATACGTAGTGCTGGATCCTTGGGGGCTTGCTTGTTTGCTTTGCTTTGCTTTGCTTTGCTTGGGAGGGGCGATTGATTGACCGATTGATTGATTCTCAGCGAACCAGTCGCAGGCAATGCTGATGAATGAGCCGATCTGAGTTGGCACAGGTACAGGAGCGGACTGGGGGCACTGAAGCTCGGAATAGGGACGATTTATGTTCGTTCGTGAGGCTGCAAGGGAGAGACCGACGCATGTCATGAGCCGGACCCTGGTCCAAGATGGATGGTGGATGGATGGTACTGGAACCTTGCCTAGGAAAAAAAAAATGGAAGATACCCCGTTCACTAATGGCGGAGACTCGACAGGGACCAGGCGGGAAGCGTTCGACCAAGACTCTTCTGGCAGAGATTTGCAACAAAATTCGCCCCAAGACAAAGTCGTCCAGGTGGTCGGGAGTGAGAGAGTGAGCCAAAGTCCGAGAAAGGGCTGCGATAGTCGTGTCGGGTCGTGTCGTGTTGTGCCGTCGACGCAAGCAAGCGCGCAACCCACAGCCGTGCAGCGGATCTGGGTGGTGGGTATCACTGTAACTTTTTTTTTTTCCTGATCCCTTCCTTTCCGACGAGAACAAGCAAGCAGAATCCAGGAACCCAGGGATGGTCGATGTTGTGTAGCCGAGGAGGTGGAGCGTCAGTGTAGAAGGGTTTCGTCAGAGCCCGGGACTACCCCAGATGTTTTGTGCGTGCTTCAAAAGTAGAGTGTGGGAGACAAAGGTACAATAGCTTCCATCTCATGGATCGCGGGGGCAGCTCTCGGCTACTGCCTTGGTCTTGAACAGCGAGGCAATTTCCCACCGGCATCATTGGGCGCAGGCATTGTTGCCCAAGACGCGCTGGCAGCGTCAGGTAAAGATGACCTCAGGAGATAGCTAGGAGCAGGGGACTACCTGGAACCATGAGGAGCGGTCAATGGCGGGACGACGATGGGACTCGATGGAGGTCGGGCACCAAGGCTTTTGGGCCATCATGGATGGGATGGGATGGATGCCATGCCAGCTAATCGCACCCGACAGGGCTTGTTGATGCCCACTGACCACCACCATCACGAGCATCAGCGCCTGGCGGTTGGGTATTTCTGACGGGAGCCCGTGAGATGCGATGCCCAGCTGGCGGTCCGACAACAGAGCAGCACCTCGACAGACGACCGAGACAGCACACCGCACCGCACCAGACCGGCAAAGCACAGAACAGTACACCGCACCACCTCCGGAACATGGCGCACAGGGCGATTGGCCCTGGCTAAACTTGGCTTTTTTGCTGGCCTTGGACAGGACAAGACAGGGCGTCTGGTGATTGGGTGGCAGAAGCTCAACGGCTTCGACCCTGAATCTCTTGCAGCGCACGGGGCGCCGATCTGAGCAAAGCCCGAATTCCGCCCGGTGAACCATGAGGACCCATGAGGGGATTCGGAAACAGCCTGTTAGTTACAGGACTGCGCTGGCTGGCTCTGGCGTCTGGCTCCCCATGCGGATGCTGATGCGGATGCGGTCCAGTGCGGAGGTGAAAACAGCGTGTGCAAGGGCCCGTCACAGCATCCATCCCCATCCATCATGACGACGACGACACCATGGCCTGACGCTGATGCAAGCAGACGCTGGCACTGCGGCTTGCTCCACCTGCCCTGACCCTGGGCTTTGGAGGGGGAGCCACAAGCTCGTGGCATCGTCGGCACCTGTGAACGGTGACAAGGAGATGAAGGGTCCTTACGCTCTCTCTCCCGTCCGTCGCGCACCGCAGCTCAGGCCGCATTGACCCGGCCGAGTTCAGCTTTGCCGATTATGAGGCGAAGGATTACCTGCGGGTGGATCTCGTTGCCAGCGGATAGAGATGATGTGCCTCCATGGATGATGGAGATGGATCAAGGTTGGCCATGGCCGTAACGGACGGGGTCGATGTGGGTGCGAGATAGATGCCTCATCTGCTTTGCCCTGATTCAAGGCTGAGGCGACAGGCCGCATCGAGGACAGGGCAGGACAGACCACCTCCACTCAGGGCTCCTGTTCTCAGGGCGGGCAATGTTGTTGGTCCCCTCATGGAAGCCGATGTCGTCCACACAAGGATGCCAGAGCAGGGCGAACCAGGTGAGGCTCGAGATGGCTCCGATTGTTTGGCTGCCCAGGTTCCATTTGGCAGGTGCCAGATTACCCACGGGCGGCCAAATGCATGTGACCGATCTGCGGAACCCAAACGTTTCTTTTCTCTCCTTTGACGTGGATATTAACGTGACACGAAACAGTCTTCACATAAGCGCTGCTGTCTTCTCACGGCCTTGGAGTGTGGCCGTGAAGTTTCACGCCGTCGTCGTTATCGAAGCCAGGACCCATGGTGGCCAATTGTCTAGCTGAGGCGGTCGAGACGTGAGAGAGCGTTTAGACAAGCGCCGGCCTGTGCAGGTCAAACGATATCTATTCTTTTTGATAGGGCTGGCCATGGTATTGAGGACAATCTGAGACCGTGTAGGTCCAGATATCCTATAGTTGGATATCTGGGTGGTTGTGGTTGGATGTCGAGGAGTGTCTGATTTCGCGATATGGATCTTCCAGATGCACTCTGCAGATGCAAAGCCACGACAGCAATGATTTCAATCCGAATAAGAGTAGAATCGCCACTCGAGACGTTGCTGGTGTCGTCTTGTTGCGGTCGGTCTAGGTAAAGTTTTCTGCCTAGGGTAGACAGATCCATGCCTGGATGCTTGGGCACATACCCAGACTCACTACCGGCATACTAATATTGTGAGCGACATATCACGCACACCTGCATACATATCCTATGTAAATTACAAAACTAGAGTTCCATCACATATATCACATCACATCCTGGCAAGGAAGGATCCTTGAACCCCCTCAGAGAAATCTTGATATGGATCTCATCGAGGCCCAACTGTGGGCATCGGACCAACCGTTACACCACACAGAGTTTCTGCCCACTCACATCAACCGTCCGATCAAACATGCCCAATCTCCTGACATCCGAATTCTTGGCAAGTAAGTGAGGCTGCCGTCTGGGTTCGGTTCCTGGATATCCGACCCATCCTGCCTACCCTAGGTAGGTAAGTGAGAATCCAAACCGACCTTCTCAAACACTCGGCACAATATTCCTCCTTTCCCCCGCCTTTCCGTTGTTTCCTTTGAATAGTGAGAAACTTCCACATCCTGCTGTATGTGGTGATCATCGGTTGGCCGGCAGGGTCTGAGCCGGGAAGGAAATTTGGTCTCCGGAGCCGGCGGCATTTCATCAAGTCGCTACATCCACCAATGCCTCTGAAATCACTGCGAGATGTTTATAAGACGGATTTCTCTCCATCAAAATAAGACTTGAGCAGTCAAGACAAGGACGATAGGGACCGGAGAGAGCCTAGTGCTGACATTAGACTCCCGTTCTTCTGGTAATCATAAGGAATGACTGCGTAGCGAATGCATAGCTTTCTCAAAATGGGTTCCGTAATGGAAAAGGGATGTAATGAGAGGTATGCTTTAGGGTAGTCTGGTAGTGTTGAGTTTTGGATTCAAGTTGTTTGTAGAATGTCGATTTGTTCCCAAATACTTTGACCGTCAACAGTGAGGTTGGGCCAACTTAACCACAACGACCACAACGACCGCGACGATGCGATTACCTACACACAGTGCTCTTGCAATAATTCTTCAATGTTCATATCTTACACCCCTGGGTCCAAGAGAGATCTTTGCGAGCTTTGAACCGGAAGAAAGGTCAGTGTCTCTTCAAGCTCGCGAAAACACCACTCGTATCCCTCCTTTTTGATCCAGCCGCTCGCAAAATTTCAGACTGGACCACACTTTCGGCCATGTTAGAAGAGCCCTCCTCAATCAATTACCCGGAACCATCCTATGCGATCCCTCCAAGTCATGAAATTGGCCCCTGGCAGCGTCTTATCGACCTTTAACCTCCTTGTCGTAAGCTCAACAACAAAGCATGGCCTCCGACCATGTGTCGTCGCTCCCATTATTGAACTTACTTGCTCAAGAAGGTTTAAAACTCCCGAGATTCCGCTGTCACAAGCCTGTAAATCCCCCAAACCCCATCCAAGCGTCAAAGATCCGAGGATCTGGCTTAAAAGCCCCCCCTTTCGTATTACC